CCAGGTTATGAGCCTCCCTCCCCCCTCCAGGTTCTCAGCCCCCCTCCTCCCCAGCTTTTTTATTGAAAGATAAATACAAAGTTCATTCTGTTGAAATCAACACAGGTGTGTTTATTGACTGTACAGGGAAGTGGGGAAGGGCGGGGTTGTGGTGGGAAAGAGATATTGGATCAAAGCCCAGGCTCCTAGGGGGGAGGCCCTGGGGAGAGTTACTAGGGTCCCTGCGAGAAACTCTCCCTCAGGGCCTGCCGGATGCACACCCCCAACTGATGGGCCTGGTGGATGGCAGCTGTCCGCGGCTGCTCGAAGGGTCTCCCTTCGTGATCGGCCTCTGCCTCCCAATCAGGTAGCAGGGCCTCCCCCTTCCTCTCCACAACGTTGTGGAGGACACAACACGCCGAAAGCACCTTGGGGTTGTTGTGCTACCTCACACTGAGGCGGGTCAGGAGGCACCTGAACCTCGCCTTGAGGTGGCCAAAGGTGCACTACACCTGCATCCTTGCCCAGCTGAGGTGGGAATTAAATTGGTCCCTGCTGGGGTCCAGGTGGCTGTTATATGGTTTCATCAGTCACGGCATCAGGGGATAGGCTGCGTCCCCCACGATGCACAGTGGCATCTGCCCATCCCTAACCACAAAGTCACGCTGGAGAAAGAATGTACCCGCCTCCAGCTTCCCATAGAGGCTAGAGTTTCAAAATACGTGGGCGTTGTGTGCCCTGCTCGACCACCCAACAAAAATGTCGGTGAGCTGACCAGGGCCTGCAGCACCATTGAGAAGTAGCCCTTCCTGTTAATTGTTAATATACTGGGCTGCTCGATGTTGTGGTGCACGGATTGGAATATGGGTTCCATCAATCGCTCCCCCGCAGTTCAGGAATCCCAGGGTGGCAAATCCTGCGATCATGGGGTCCAGGTCTCCCAGGCGGATGATCCTGCACAGCAGGATGGAGTTGATGACTCTCACACCCTGCAGAAGGAGACAGACAAACACACAAAAAAGTGAATGAGAGAGGGAGTGCCTCAGCCCTTGGGAGGTGCCCGTCCCCCTCTGTTTCCCCCCTCAAGTACTCCAGGAGCCACCCCCTATGAGGCTGCCCCCCCAGCAGCAGGGCTGTGTGAGGGCGGGATGGCACAACCCCCCGGGGATGGGGCTTTCCCCCAGCTTCAGCCCACCCCCACTTTACCTAGGGTCCCCCTTTTCCAGGACTTCTTTCCCCCCGCCCAGCCCGAGAGTGCCTTACTTCCATGAGGAGGGCCCTGATGGTGGACTTCCCCATGCGGAATTGGTTGCCTACTGACTAGTAATTGTCTGGGGTGATGAGCTTCCAGATGGCAATTGTGACCTGCTTCTCCAGGCGGATGGCGGGCCACAGGTGGGGGTCGCGTGGTTGGAGGGTAGGGGCGAGCCAGGCACACAGCTCCAAAAAGGTAAACTAGAGAGTGGTGTATTAAATTAGTCTGGGTATTGGAATATGCATTCAAACTCCTGAATTCTAATCCCAACTTCTTCCAGGGTTTTGACTAAGTCACATACCCATTCCTAAAAGATATTGAGTGCTCCTTAACTCCCATTAGTGAATGTTTTGCAGGACAGGACATTTAGCCACTCAGGTTCTTCTCCTCTAGATGAATACTTTAGATTTCGGTTTGTACAGGCTACACAATGAATTGTTGGCATGACATGAAATATGTACTCTGGGCCATCCAAGTATATGTTTCATTTGTTAATCCTATTCCCAAACATTTGTTCAGGAAGGGATTAGAACGGGCAAGTTGCCATTTCCAGGAAGAACTACATTTCTTTTATCATCATATTTAAATGTAA